TTTTGGTGCAGTTACTCCCTGAGGCTGCGCTGCCTCAAGAAAGAGGCTGAACACACTGGATATGCACAGAGTTTTTAGCCTTTGCTTGCCCCTACTTGGGACCCGAGGTCCTTGTCCATGTTGCCCTGCCACACCAGTGCAGTGCTATTGGCTTTGGGGGTCAGAAGCCTGCAATCAGGCAGAGGGCTGCAGATGTAGAATTTGCCCCCATTTGGGACTGGACACCCTGGTGTGCCCCAGTGGTTTTGTGCTGCCATATGAACTCATATCTGTGGGCCATTTCCAGCAGGATGGCAGATGCTGGGAGTCCCTGGAGAAGCACCCAGGGAGCCTGGACCATCAGAGATGCAAAAGTGCTGTGGGATGAGAGGTGTGAGCATCACAGGAAAAGAAGCTCCCGGCTGTGTTCAAGGAAAAGCAGTGATCCTTCTCCCAACAGCCTGCACAGTCACTGGATTTGGCCCTGAGCAGTTTAAATAAGGTGCTGAGACTCAGCAGCATAAATCCTGGACTGGCGCAAATGGAGGCGGGTCCATTGGCTTCAAAGGAGATGCCCGGGTTTATGCCAACGGAGGGTTTGGTCTGATCTTACTCCCAGTGAAGTGACAAGGAATTCTCACCTGGGAAGCAGGTCTGAGTTTTGTGTGTCTGGGTTACAAATGGAGCCCCTCTCCTCCCCTCCCCCCAGTGATCTTCTCTAACCCACTAGACTGCCTTTGCCTTCCTGGCTCCCATCCCCGCCACACTAAATACCAGGCTTAGTCTCTTCTTCTGAAGTAGCTGACACTCACCTGGAGAGCTGCAAATTTCCTGGCTTGCGGCAAGAGAACCTTTTAAATGAAACACACGTTCCTGTTAGGGGTGCAGCCAGACACACTCTAGAACAGTTAATTCCACATAAGATCAATGGGCATCCTCCCAGCAAGGCAGCAGAGACGCAGGATGGTGACAGCTGGGGGATTCCCTCCTTTAATTCTCGCCTGTGTGATAAACTGCACTTGTTAATCTCACTGTTCCAACCAATCCCTCCCCCCGGAGATGGCTTCTCAGACACTGAGCTTGCCGCTGAGTAAAGGGGTCCCTAGACTCAAGGATTCTCAGGCCAGAAGGGACCATGTGATCATCTGCTCTGAGCTCCTGCAGAAGACACTCCAGAGAACCTAATGGGGTGATTCCCGCATCTAGCCAGGAAGCCCTGTTTGAGAAGACAGCAGCTCGTAGAGACCCCTCCACTCCTCATGGAATGGCTGCCAGAGACAGACACTCACTGCTTCCCTTGTTAATCTGCTCCCATAGCAAAGAAACCACCTTTCCTACCAGGGGCCTTATTCCAGTGTCAATTAGTCTGACTTCACTTTCCAGCCATTGGCTCTTTTTTGCCCTTTGTCTGCTCCACCCAATAAATCTGTCACTGCTGTCAGAACTCTTCTCCCCGCAGAGGGACTTAGACACTGCAATCTAGTCACCTTTTAACCCTCTGGGGAGGCAGGGGACTGGACTTGGTGATCTCTCAAGGTCCCTTCCGGTTTTAGTGTTCTGTCATTCTCTCCCAGCTGTTAATCAGGCTGCGCTCCACCAGGCTCTGTCAGGCAGGTACTCCAGACCTCGCTTCATTCGTGCCTTTCCCCTACCCCTGCCTCAGGTGAACGAGTGATTTAAGATGGTCCTGGCACTTCTCAGTGCTGGGGCTATGATAGGGCAAAGGTCTGAGGCTGCACAGATATTGCATCTGTTACAATATATGGGTTATACCTTAAGGCTCAGAAGTATTTTAAAATCCCGACATAGAAAACAGTAAGCAGGAAAAAGTAACAGTGTGTGGTAGGAACACACTGGAGGCAATGTGTTTGTCTGTCTGTCTGTCTGAGGTCTGGTAGCAGTGCCAGACTGTGAGCCCACCTCATACAGACAGACACACACACAAACAATAAGTGAATATAAGAGAACAATTCACAGCCTGTCTCATCACAGCCTTCTCCTCCTGCCCAACCGGCCCATTGTGCCCATACTCACAGAGCAGCCACAGGCCTAGCGGCAGGATCCTGGGGAGAAGCAGAGATAATCCCATTGCCTGACCATGCCACAGAGGCATCTGCCGCCCAGGGATGCAGGCACCGTCCCTTGGGCTCTGCTCCTCAGTGTCTCAGTGAGAGAAACGCCGGGGCTCTCTGGTTTGGTCTGATCTGCCAGGAGCAGAGAAGTTGCAGGTGCTCTCTGATCTGCCACATGAGCCCCAAGGCTCAGAGAGAAGGAAAGCCACAGTCCCTGAGAGAGACGGAGCCGTGTCTGCTACCAGCCTTGCAATGACAGGGGACATCACTCCTTGATGGGAGGGGAAAGCTGCCTGCACAGCTCCTCTGTCACGCGTTGGGCAGATTCTCTGATCACTCCAAATGCTGAGAGTTGGGGGTATGATACCAGATCAGACCAGCCTCTCTGAGCCCAACTCCCACTCTCTGAGTCTGATAACAGCTCAGAACTGCTCCTCTCCCAGTCTAGCCCAGCATGAGAACTGCAGAACAATAGTGGCTTCTCCAAAGTTATAGTGACAGCGCATTTTCTGCTCAAAGTCCACAGGACGACCCAAATGAACCTGAGCAGTGGACAGCTGTGTTAGTGGCTAAGGCAAAGTGTGTGAGGGAAATCTGAGGCCATTTGAACCAAAGGTTCCCAAGATAGAGCCCTTAAAAATGGAGCTGTTTCCAAAATAGCAAAATTCATGCAGAGTTAGCTGTTGGGACTCCCCAAAGGGAGTTGGGCATCCCTCACTCCTAGGTTTTCATGGCAGTCAGTGTCTTAGACACACAAGCGCCTTTGGAAATTCCTCCCCTCATCTGCTGTGGAGAATGGCAGCCATCTTTATTCAGGGCAACTTTCCTGTCACATCCCAATGGTGTAGCACCATGGCAGCTCACAGAAGGCTGTGACTTTAATGCCATTTTAAACAAAACCTGACGCTCCCCATTGGGAAGATGGTTGTCTTGACACTTTAGCCTTGGAATGTGACCTGGAGGTTGCTCCTAGTAAAGGTGGCTGCCATTTCTCATTGTTCCCAATAAGACTGAAGTTACAGACTTCCCTCAGGGGAAACGGCTACTACGTCATTAAATACTGTGACAGTGAAAAAGATGGCTGCCATTTCCCATTGTTCCCTCTAGGATTGAAGTTGCAGGCTGCCCTCTGGTAAGGGTTATCACTTCCCCAAAGCCATGGTATGGATGTCCAATTTCGCCCTTGTGTCCAATGGAAGTGAAGCCAAAGCCTGGCCTCAGAGAAGATGGCCACTGTGTGATGTAACAGAGAGGTTGCTCCAAGTAAAACTCGCCACACTTATCATGGCCAGCAGGACTGAAGCCAGAGGCTGCCTGTTGGAATATAGTTACAACTCCCAAAGGACAGACTGTTGCTTCATTCCCCTTAGAAACGATGGGAAATGGAGGCCATCTTTACTTGGGGCATTTTTCCTGTCACACCCCAAGGCGTTAATAACAGGGCAGCATCATTGTCACTGGGAACAGTGGGACGTGGTGGCCATTGTTATGAGGACAGACTCCATTTCCCCACACGCCTAAGCTCCTCCCACCCCCCAGTAATTCATCCTATTCCCCAGTTTGTTCCATTTTCCCAGTATGGTCTCTAGGAATTTTCATACAGAAGCCGCCTGCCCCCTCTTCCCCTCCAGCAGACAATCCCTGTGTCCTGCTTCTTCTAGCCAGGAGGGGATGTTCTGTGCCCCTAGCCCATGGTGCCCCTGTGCCTGGGAGAAGATCCCTTGGGCCACATCCCAAATCCCTCTCTGTGGGCTGTTTCCAGCTGCCCATCAGGAGCAGGGGCCAGGACCTTGCCCACGCTGGCAACACGGGGGAATTTTCAGATCCCTTTCCCCAAACTCTGCAGACTGGGCCTGGCTTCGCGGAGCAGATGGAGATTCCTCTGTCCCCAAGAGGCTGTGCAGTGTGGAATGGGGGCACCAGGGACTTGGCCTAACCACCCTTGGGCCAGGCCAAACCCAAGGGGCGCTTCAACCCCATGTGCCAGGTTGCCGTGGTGCTCACTCCACTCTGGCCCAGTTGTCCCTCAGCCATGATGGAGGGGTGGCTGGGCCAAATGGAGCGAGTGGCATTGTGACCTGGTGCACTGGTTGGCAGCAGTGATCACTCCGATGTGGGGAGGGTGAGTATGTGGGCACATGGCCAAGCAATCAGGCTGCTGGGGATGGGGGTGCCAGGCAGGGATAAAGGAGGTTCTGTCAGGGGAAACCTATTCCCTCCCCCACGCTTTAAGGAGCGGTCTGTGCATAGCATTCCTCCCAGAATTTCAGGCCGTAACAGAGTGAGAACTGGGCCTTTTCATTGAGCTCTTTACTGGTGTTTTCATGTTCACAAGACATACTGATAGGTGGAACCAAACTTGGGACCTCTGGAGCTCAGTGCATAAGCTTCCACCACTAGAGCTAAAAGCCAGCTGTCTCTCAGCTAAGGGTGTAGAGCAAACTCACTCTCTCTCACTGTAACTGGTCTCAGGGCCAGTCCATGGGACAGTGAACCACACCCAGCAGGTGTGTGGGTTACACTATCTCAGCCTCTCTCTGTACCTTCCTAGAAAGAGAGGGATGACACACCTGGGTCGTCCCCCTTCCCTCACTGCCCTCCCACTGCTGCCAGCTGCTAGGCTGAGTGGAGAGCAGGAAACACAAGTGCAGGGAAGCACAGAGGCAGGTGCAGTGCAGGCTGGGGAGGCTGGGACATCAGTTGGAGTGTGTGGCTGAGTCACACAACTGACCCTGTGCTCTGTGTGTGTCTCTGGCTGATGCTTCCAGGGGCTCTCGGAGGTCCCAGCCCTGGGTTACAAGCAGACTTGGCAGATTCCATTTTTACTTTTTTATAATGTTGATGGATCATATCAATGTTTCTTTTAATGATTTTTTTATTTTTATCAATTTACATTTTTCCACTGAAGGAAATGAAAGCCGATTCCGACATTTTTTAATAACTGGAGAAGTTGAGAGTCAGAGCGCTAAAGGTTTATAGCCCTTAAAACATCAATTGTCACCATCATATGTCAAAATATGCACAGTAAATATCCTTACATCAACCCCGAATAATGTCTCAAGCAGCATTTCTCTTACTTTGCTTCTCTGCAGATTTCTATTATTATCGATGGAAATATTTTCTCGTGGGTTTGCGTGCGTGTGGCGAAACGGAAGTTTACTGCTATTTATCAATTACAAGCAAACCCATCGAAGCCTAGTTATAAACTGAACCCCACTCTGCTTGCGAGGTCAGCACGGAGACAGGGCTGTGGTTGCTGGCTGTGGTTGCTGTTCCCAGCGCAGGAGTCTCTCCCACCACGGCCCTGGCAGTATTTATAGACACATAGGCCCAGAACAATGCTGGGCTCATTATGCAATGACCAGCCGGTCGCTCGTCTGCAGTGCTCATTTCTGTCCTGGGGGTGGTCGCTGCGCTGCATTCTCAGCATGGCCGAGGGGCTGAAAGAGCAACCGCCCGTCCAGCCCCTGAGGGAGCAGGTGACAGCGTGTGTTCTTCAAGACCTGGCCTGATACAGAGAAACACCAAACTGCAGCTTATTTTCTGCAACTGCTTCGAACCGTTTCATATTTAGGCAACAAATGAACTTTTAGCACCAGCCGGTAACTCAGAGCAGAGACGGACATGAGGGCTGCATGGCACAGGGGCCATATGAAAATGTTTGCTCCTCCGCCAAAACAACCAGCAAGGGTGGTGCGTGTCTAGGTACAGAGCGTGCATGGAGTGTCCAAATAGTTCAGCCATTGTGACCATTCCAATTATCACTGTGAGCTCACCCTGCGCTCCTGCCTGTGTGTGTAGTGTGCTGTACCAGGGCAGGGCCCACAGCTCTGGCCTGCAGGATCTCGCTCCTATGCTCTGTGCCAGGCCCTGCAGCAGTGAAAATTAATGCCTCATCAAGCCAGCCTGTTTCTGCGCATGTACAGGGGCTGGATCCTGCCCTGGTGACACAAATGTGACCCTAGAATGCAGCTGCGGGAGGCCGTGGGCTTCTTGTGGGTTGACCCACACACATGCTTTGCCAGCTTTCTAATTGCAAAACACCTTCCATATCCCTTCCCTGAGGCCCCATCCTCATTTGCTCCATCCCCCCCTCTCTCCATTGCTCATCCTTCCACACCATCACACATATTCACGGGGTTGGGGCAGGTGTGGGAGGGGGTGAGGGCTTTATCTGGGGGTGCGGGCTTTGTGTGGGGCCACAAATGAGGGAGTTGGGGTGTATGACAGGGCTCTGAGCAGAGGCATGGATCTGGGGTGCGGGTGGGGAAGGTGTGAGGGCTCCAGCTAGGAATGTGGGTTCAGGGGAGGGGCCAGGGATGAGGAGTCTGGGTTGCAGGAATGGGCTCAGGGCTGGGTCAGGAGGCTGGGGGATGGGAAGGGGTGGGATCCTGGTGATGTTTACCGTGGCTCCCAGGAACTGGCTGCCAGGTCTCTGTGGCCCCTAAGAGCATAAGGGACCGGGGAGGCTCCATGCACTGCCCTGGTGCCCGTAGGCACCACTCCCACATCTCCCACTGTTTGCGGTTCCAGCATACAGGCCACAGGAACCTCGAGGCTGCTTACGGAGCCAGGGCAGGCAGGGATGTGTCCTGCCAAATGGCCCTTTAATGGCCCAGTTGTCAATGCTCACCAGAGCTTTTTTTGACCAGGTTGAAAACCCAGTGCCTGGTAACCGTACCACAAACACCCTAGTTTGACTGAAGGACGGGGCCGTGCAAGGGGATGAGGAGCTGCCCAGGGATGTGGGGAAGCAGACGGGTCTGGAGTTAAGATAACGCACAGATCCCATGGCAGGGGAATCTCTGGGGGCTGATCAATGAGTTACTCCCCCTGACTCCCATGGGCCTGTGTCTGCAAAGGGGTATAATCCACAGACCTCTCTGTAACCCCTGCTGACCCTCCAGGCTTCCTTGGACAGGGGAGCCCCCCAGAGCCCTCGATCACCTCTCCTTTCTCTTCCTCCCTGCCATTCCCCTCCAGGGCCTTCCGGGACGGCGGAACAACGGCTCTTCCTCTCAGGATGCAGCTGATGATGGGGCAGGAGGCCAGCAGGATCAGGACCAAGGTGGAGCGGAGGATCCAGACCCAGAGCGGGATAGCAGGCCCTGGGATGGGACAGAAGAAGGTGAGTGGCCTGAAGGTGGAGGCCAATGTGCAGCACGAGTCCCCTCACAGCTCTGCCAGGCACTGGGACATGTCACCCGGTTATGACATCCCTGCTTTGCCTCAGAGAGCCTGTGACTGTCCCATGGGCCCAGCTGCTTACAGGCCTCACACCCGGCTCCTCACTGCACAGGGATCTCACTCAGCGCTAGTTCTTTGCCCCCTCATACCCAGCACCATGCAGCTGAGATCGGCCCCTCGCCTGTGCCATGGAGGGGGCAGCCCTGACACCACGGTCTGCTGCTGACCAGCACGGGTCAGGGTCACCGTCTGGTGGCCACTAACTCCAAGGCCAGATGTTTGTGCCTGATGCCACATCACAAAGCCAGACCCTACCATTGCTCTTCCCAGTCAGGGTGAAGTTTCCCCATTGAGAATGGCATGTGCCATTCATCCCATACCAGGCCTCCCTTTTCCTCAGGGAAATCCCACAGCATGGAGCAAAACCAGTTACCTTGGGGAGAAGACTCCTCTGCCGCGCTGTCACCATCTGTGGGGCAGAGACACAGAGGTCAGAGAGCAGTTCCCACAGTCTCGTTCTAAGGAGAGGTGAACGGCAGTGAACACCAGTGAGGTGCCCAAGGACATGTCTAGAGCAGGGCTACATCTTTTGACCAAAACATTTTTCAGCAAAATATGTAAATTAGATGATACTGAGACACCCAGTGTGTTCCTTTCATTCTGTCAAATTGTTTGGGCCCCAGACAAAAGCTTAAAATATTCCGGAAAAAAATCAAAATCTCTCTTCCCAGCTTTCCCCCCTTCCTTACTTCTCACTCCCGTTCCCTTCCCCTATGACTGGAGGGGCATTAACAAGCCCCTGCACATTTAATAATCCCTTGAAATATACATTAACTACTTCTGCTCACTCATCTAGTCTATTAGCTGTGGCACTCTGAGTACATGTCCCAGAGCTGCAGAGCTCTGCGTAAGCTTGAAAGTTAGCCTCTCGCCAGCAGAGATAGGTCCTATGAGAGATATTACCTCACCCATCTTGACTCTCTAATGGTTCGTTTTGACATTTTCAGAACAGAGCTAGATCTGGTTTCAGTGGAGTTTGTGGAAGGTTTGGAGACAGTTCAATGGTATAGGAATTGAACTGGTTTTGAAAAAGACTATTTTAATTCCAGGAGAAAGAAATTCCCTTCGAGGACTGTCCCTCTACTACTGAGAGAGACAGGAGAGAATTGAACCAGGTCTGGAATTCTCTTTGTCTCTGAGCTTTCCACTGTGATCGGGTGAGAGTCAAAGGAAAGCTGCTATACAACATGGAACTGGATATGTGACATCAGACTGTAGCATCTTTGCCCAGGTATGTTTCCAAATGGTCATAACTTTACTACTTTACATTACTTATGGGAAAAAGATATCCAGATCTTTCCCCCCCCTACAAAAACGCAGATTTAGTGAGTCCAAAACATTTTTTCAAATTTGTGTCAGATTGGCAGAATTATTTATCTCAGAAAAAATTAAACAAAAACACCCGACCCTCTACCTCCAAACTATTTCAAAAAAATCCAACTGTCAGTCATTTCAAAACCAAGCTTTTACATTTTGCTACTTACAATGACTTTGCATTTCACATTTCCTTTGATTTTATTTTTAAAAACATCCTCCCATAACAAACTGTTCACAGCCCCCTCCCCACCCTTCCAAAAAACCCTAATTCAACCAAACCCACTGTTTTTTCAACTTTTTGATTTAGCGAAATTTTTGGAAGAAAATGTTTTTTCTGGTCATCCTGAAACCATTTTTTTGCCCAAGGTATTTTGGAATTGCCATCAAACAGAAAAACGGTTATTCTTGTAGTTCTATGTCATACCTGTGTTTCCTGGTGGTTTTAGTAAAGTAAAGGAGACCATGATGATGACAATAAATCCGGTGAATTTCTGGGCATTGGTTCATCTATTTTCACACTTTGCCCCACCAAAAAGGTCACAATATTTTTTCTTTTAAATTCATGGGAAAAACCTGCTCTTCTTCACCATGGAACTCAGCAACGGCTGAGAGGAGGGTGCTTGGACACTAACAACATGTAAACGTTCCCCAGGGGGCAGAGTTCTCATCTGGGAAACGCCAGGGGAACAGAGGGAAGTTCTACATCTGTAACTCTAGATATCACAGTGTGACCCCAGCCTGTCTTGGCTCCCTGGCCAGCTGCACCCAGCCCACCATTAGCACAGAGCATTACCGGCCACGTGCAGGTGCCAAGCATCACTCGGGAGCGAATTGTTTGCCTGGTTGCTGTCGTCCTTGAGCTGGTAGAGGCAGGAAAAGGCCCCTGCGCTCTCCCTGGACACTGTGTAGGGTGAGTCATAGACACGTTTGTTTCCTTCCTTGGGCTGCACAGAAATCTCCTTCCCGTCTTTGCAGAAGACAATGCGGGTCATGGGGGTGTCCAATGGGACTAGACATGACAGCAGGACTGTGTCCCCTGGGCGGGCAGACAGCTTGTTCAGGAACAGCCGTGGGGCAGGAAGAATGCCTAGGAAGCAAACACATCAATGAAACACCTGGGCCCAGATCCCCACTGGTGTCAATCAGCAGAGCAATGGAGCCGTGCCAATTTACACCAGCTGGGGATTGGAGTAAATGGCTCCAGTGCAGCCTGGCTGATCCTGACCCTCCAATCCCTGCTGCCATGACAGGGACCCGTCACTCACCGGGAGAGCTGCAGATTTCCTGGCTGGTGACCAGGGAACCTGTGAAATAAACACAAAAGGGTCTCAGTGCAGAAGAGGGGAAGGGTGGAACGGGGAATTACAATGCCTGGATCCGGAAACACCGCTGCTGCCTCTGGCCTTCCTGGGCCCAACCAAATCTCGCTCCAGCCAGAGGTGAGAAATTCTGCCCCAGAATCTTGGTGTCCAGCTACGAGTATGAACAAGACCTGGAGGGTCCCAGGCCAGCTTGGGATCTGCCCCATTGGAGCAATGGAGCCAGGTGCATTTACACCAGCCAGGGTTCCGACCCCCAGCCTGGAACTTGTTGGTTGCCTGCGGTGAAGTCCGGGGCTAGCTGGCATGCTGCTGTCTGAGTGCAGACAAGGAACAGCTCCTGTACCAGAGTGTGGAGCTCACTGGCTCCTGGGCAAGCAATCAACCCTGGTCCCATGCTGGGTAAGAGCCAGATCCTGCACTATAGGGGTCCCTGAGAGATCAGGGCAGTGGGGACCAGGTCAGGACTGACTTGTCTATGTTCCTGATTCAGATCATCAGATCAATCCCTTCCATTCACACAGGCATCTCTTGATTTGAATGGGTTCTGGGCCGGAGTCTGGGTCTATACCAGCAATGCCATGTGCAGGATCAGGTCCGTGGGAGGCTATTTGCAGGTTTGTTTGTCTCCTGAGATCCTTGGGTCTTTAGTTCAGCATATTGCACATTCACCATAAATATCAACAAAGAGCCAGGAGCAATTCACAGAATTCCCCCCATGCAGCTGGTAAAGCAAGGTGGGCGGGTTCAAGTTTCCACCCCACCCTGGGAGAGGCGGCATAAAGGGTGCCCTGAAGGGAAGGGGAAGTGGATTCTGGTATAGCCTAGGGGATAGGGTGCTCACCTGGGGAGGGCTGGGTGACAGGTTCACATTGTACGGTGGGGGAAACTGAGGCACAAAGAGGCTAAAGTGTCTGCCCTAAGGTCACCCATAACATCTGTATCAGAGCAGGGAATTCATCCTTGGTCTCCAAAGTGCCAGCCGCAACCAGCTTTTAGTGCAGTTAATGACTATCTAATTATTTAGGCTCAGCTCTCCAAAGCTGAGAGGTTCTGGGTGCTAATGTAGTTTGGCACCCAGATCTCAGGGAAATTCCATCATTACCCCCCATAAAAAACCAATCACATCTGGCTGTGTATCTGCCAGTTCTGTTGTTTGCCCTTGTGTGCCAGGAGAACATGTAGCAGTTTCCCTCCCTGGATGTGAGCTCCAGTTTAGATTTCATCAAGCAAACTGTCTGTAACCTTGAAGCAGTGATTTTGTGCACACCCATCTTTACACCCGAATCTGAGTGTGCACAGCAGTGTCTCAGTGTGCAAAGGGGCATCCATTTCCAGCGGGCTTGCACGTGCCTTTTGTGTGTGGTGCGAATGCGGCGGGTTTGTCTGCGGAGTTTGTGCCCACAGACATCTGCTCCCCCTTGTGACATGCAACTCAACCCCCATGCTGGCAAACTTAGGGTGCAGCCCTTGGAAAACAACAGCGCACTTCCAGGAGACACAATGACCGCATTGCTGAGCTTCAGCACTGGAAACTACCTAGAAATTTCCCTGAGTCAGGTGGGGCTAATTAAACATGCAGCACTTGCTGTTAATTCACTTGGGATCCTTGCAGTGTGGTTTCAGGCTCTGGTGCCAAGCGGTGTTGGCATGTCCACACAGCACATCACAGTAGGATTGGACCCTAATTAAGCAAACAATTCTCTGCCCCGTGATCTCCCCCACCCAGCGTTGGCTGTACTCACAGAGAAGCCAGAGTCCCAGCGGCGGGATGCTCAGGAGATGTGGTGATACCAGCATGGTCTGGTGATGCTGCAGGCACAGATGGTCTCTCTCTGCCTCTCAGACTCTCAATGAGAGAGGTCTCTGATCTGACCTCTCCCCTTGTGATCTGCAGGAAGCTGGGAGCAGAGAAGCCGCAGGTGCTGTCTGGTCTGTCTCCTGGTGGTAACGTTAAGGCATGAAAAGCCACAGGCTCTTTTGCTAAGGCGGGGCTGGGTCTGCTACAGGCCTCGCTGCGGCCAGGGAGATACTAGCTCCCACGTGTAGGTAGAAGCCGCTCTCCCAGCTTTTCTCTCACACATGCTGGGCAGGGTCTCTGCTGTTCCCAAGCTCTGAGTGTTGGGGGGTTTGGATCTGGGTCAGACCAGCCCTTCTCAGCCCAGTTCCCAGCCTGTGGGTTGTGACGCTAAATCAGACCAGTCTCTTTGAGCTGAACTCCCAGCATTTCGGTTTTCACACAGAACATACATTTCCTGTATCAGACCCTGCAGGTTGGGGTTGGGTGCAAAGGGGCTGGTCTGATCTGGTACCAGACCCCGGTAGTGATAACTGAGGCCTGGTCGGCATTAGGAGGCTAGGCCGGACTTTGCTGCATTAGGTCATAAGAACATAAGAACAGCCAGACTGGGTCAGACCAAAGGTCCATCTAGCCCAGTATCCTGTCTGCCAGCAGTGGCCAATACCAAATGCCCCAGAGGGAGGAAACTCACCAGGTAATCCTCATGTGATCGCTCCCCTGTCACCCACCTCCAAACAAATAGAGTCTAGGGACACCATTCCTATGAATCCTGGCTAATAGCCATTGATGGACCTAAACTCCATGAATTTATCTAGCTCTTTTTTGAACCCTGTTAAAGTCCTGGTCTTCACCACATCCTCTGGCAAGGAGTTCCACAGGTTGATTATGCGCCGAGTGAAGAAAAGCTTCCTTTTGTTTGTTTTAAACCTGCTGCCTGTTAGTTCCATTTGGTGACCCCTAGCTCTTCTGTTGTGGAAATAAGTAAATACCTTTCCCTTATTCACTTTTTCCACCCCAGTCATGATTTTATAGACCTCTAAACACTTTTCTTAAACAATGAGTCCACACCACCAAGCCTGTACCGCTGACTGTAAGGACTGTTAAAGTCAATTTCGGTATGCCTGCTTTTCACGAGGAGTAATGGTAACCTTGCATGGTTCCCCAACGTGACCACTGCAAAGGGGAGACAGAAAGATTGAATCAGGCCCAATAAAAAAGGCCTAGTGTTATAATTACAGGACTGCATTGAGCTCATGCTTGGTAAGCAGGAGACGGGTAGGATGGGAAACTACTAACTAAAACTGGTCATCTGAAGAAATGGGCTGTGTTTTGTTAGTCTATAAAGTGCTACCAGACCGTTTGATGTTTTTTAAGTTTAAAACTGGTGTGTCAAACATCAGGCCCGTTTGATAGAAATTTACTGGCTCAGCAGGTGAGTCTGGCTAATGGTTATTAAGGAAAAACTCTCAGTAAGCAGTGAGCTCATCACAGCGGCCTCCCTCACTGGCGAATAACGCTTTGCCGTTCCTTTGCTTCGCAGACCTAGTCATTATGTCTTTGGCACATCCGTGTTCTTTTTTTATTTTTACATTATCTTTCCTCTTCTGCCAGGCGCAGTGGGAGTTTAAAGCACTCTTCCCTGGCTGTATGGAGTAAAAGCTATGCTAGCCAGCATGTTGGCAGAATAGGGGGTGACAGTTGGTCAAATATACTGATTAACTAAGAGTCTGGAGTGTGGAAATGGATTCTGGGCTCAGTCAGGGGGATGGGCAGAGGGAGGGGGGTACGGGTTCCAGACTGGGGGTGTGTGGGCTCCAGAAATGAGGGATTCAGTGTGAG